TAATAATGTTTACATATCTTGCACTACTCATCTCATATGTACATACTGTATACTATTCTATAATATTCTACTGTATCTTAGTCCATGCCGCTCTGTCATTGCTTGTCCATTTATGTATATATTCTAAAATTCCAATTTGTGTGTATTGGGTATATGTTGTGAAATTGTTAGATATTACTGCACTGTCGGAGCTAGAAGCACAAGCATTTCGCTACACCTGCAAAACACGTGTATGTGACAAATAAATGTTGATTTGATTTGATGAGGTAGTCACCTGGAATGCATTTCAATTAACAGGTGTGCCTTCTTAAAAGATAATTTGTGGAATTTCTTAATGCGTTTGAGCTAATCAGTTGTGTTGTGACAAGGTAGGGGGGGGGGGTATACAGAAGATAGCCCTATTTGGTAAAAGACCAAGTCCATATTATGGCAAGAACAGCTCAAATAATCAAAGAGAAACGACAGTCCATCATTACATTTACATTTTACATTTACTTTAAGACATGAAGGTCAGTCAATACGGAACATTTCAAGAACTTTGAAAGTTTCTTCAAGTGCAGTTGCAAAAACCATCAAGCGCTATGATAAAACTGTCTCTCATGAGGACGGCCACAAGAATGGAAGACCCAGAGTTACCTCTGCTTCAGAGGATTAAGTTCATTAGAGTTATCAGCCTCAGAAATTGCTGCCCAAATAAATGCTTCACAGAGTTCAAGTAACAGACGCATCTCAACATCAACTGTTCAGAGGGGACTGTGTGAATCAGGCCTTCATGGTCGAACTGCTGTAAAGAAACCACTACTAAAGGACACCAATAATAAGAAGAGACCTGCTTGGGCCAAGAAACACGAGCAATGGACATCAGACCGGTGGAAATTTGTCCTTTGGTCTGGAGTCAAAATTGGAGATTTTAGGTTCAAACCACTGTGTCTGTGAGACGCGGTGTGGGTGAACGGATGATCTCCACATGTGTATTTCCCACCATAAAGCATGGAGGAGGAGGTGTTATGGTGTGGGGGTGCTTTGCTGGTGACACTGTCTGTGATTTATTTAGAATTCAAGGCACACTTAACCAGCATGGCTACCACAGCATTCTACAGCGATACGCCATCCCATCTGGTTTGGGCTTAGTGGGACTATCATTTGTTTTTCAACAGGACAATGACCCAACACACCTCTAGGCTGTCTAAGGGCTATTTTACCAAGAAGGAGAGTGATGGAGTGCTGCATCAGATGACCTTGCCTCCACAATCCCCTGACCTCAACCCAATTTGAGATGGTTTGGGATGAGTCGGACCGCAGAGTGACGAAAAAGCAGCCAACAAGTGCTCAGCATATGTGGGAACTCCTTCAAGACTGTTGGACAAGCATTCCAGGTGAAGCTATTTGTGAGAATGCTAAGAGTGTGCAAAGCTGTCATCAAGGCAAAGGGTGGCTATTTGAAGAAAATCAAATATAAAATATATTTGACATTTTACATTACATTTTAGTCATTTAGCAGACGCTCTTATCCAGAGCGACTTAGTTAGTGAGTGCATACATTTTCATCATTTTGATTTGATTTGTCTAACACTTGTTTACTACATGATTCCATATGTGTTATTTCATAGTTTTGATGTCTTCACTATTATTCTACAATGTAAAAAATAGCTAAAATTAAGAAAAACCCTTGAATGAGTAGGTTTGTCCAAACTTTTGACTGGTAGTGTACATAGGGCAACAGTCTCTAAGGTTCAGGGCAGGGTACTGTGCGGAGGCCGGCTGGTGGTGACTGTTTAACAGTCTGATGGCCTGGAGATAGAAGCTGTTTCTCAGTCTCTCGGTCTCAGCTTTGATGCACCTGTACTCTCTCTGACTTCTAGATGGTAACTGTAGATGTCCTGGAGGGCAGGCAGTGTGGCCCCGGTGATGCGTTGGGCTGAATGGACCACTCTGCAATTGCCGTACCAGGCTATGATGCAGCCCAACCGGATGCTCTCAATGGTGCATCTGTGGAAGTTCGTGAGGGTCTTAGGGGCCAAGCCAAATTTCTTCAGCCTCCCGAGGTTGAAGAGGCGCAGTTGTGCCTTCTTCACCATCCTTTCTGTGTGAATGGACCATTTTTCAGGTTGTCAGTGATGTGCACACCGAGGAACTTGATGCTATTGACCCTCTCCACTGCGGCCCTGTTGATGTGGATGGGGCATGCTCTCTCTGCTGTCCCCTGTAGTCCACAATCAGCTCCTTCGTTTTGTTGATGTTGAGGGAGAGATTATTTCCCTGGCACCACTCTGCCAGGGCTCTCACTTCCTCCCTGTAGGCAGTCTCATCGTTGTTGGTAATCAGGCCTACCACTGTTGGGTCGTCAGAAAACTTTATGATTGAGTTGGAGACGTGCGTGGCCACGCAGTCATGGGTGAACAGGGAGTACAGGAGGGGGCTGAGCACACACCCCTGTGGGGCCCCCGTGTTGAGGATCAGTGTGGCAGAGGTGTTGTTGCCTACCTTCACCGCTTGGGCTCGACCCCTCAGGAAGTCCAGGACTCAGCTTAGTGATGAGCTTGGAGGGTACTATGGAGTTGAAGGCTGAGCTGTAGTCGATGAACAGCATTCTTGCATAGGTATTTCTCTTGTCCAGGTGGGATAGGGCCATGTGTAGTGCAATGGCGATTGCGTCGTCCGTGGATCTGTTGGGGCGATATGCAAATTGTAGTGGGTCTAGGGTGTCTGGTAAGGTGGAGGTAATATAGTTGTTAACTAACCTCTCAAAGCACTTCATGATGACAGAAGTGAGTGCTACGGGGCGATAGTCATTTAGTTCAGTTACCTTCGCTTTCTTGAAGCAAGTGGGGACAACAGACTGGGATATGGAGAGATTGAATATGTCCGTAAACACTCCAGCCAGCTGTTCTGCACATGCTCTGAGTACGCAGTTTGGGATGCAATGCTAAGGTTTACACAATTAAATGGCTTACTCTTATCGGCAATGGAGAACGAGAGCACACAGTTCTCGTGAGCGTCGGGGCCTGTGTCGGCTGCTCAATGTTGTTTTCCTCGCAGCAGGTGAAGAAGGTGTTTAGTTCGTCCGGGAGCAAGGCGTAGGTGTCCGCGACATGGCTGGCTTGACATTAGAGTATATTGTGTAGATCGTTTACAAAAAAGGACAATTCAATTCATTTTAATCCCACTTTGTAACACTTACAACATTTGGAAAAAGTCAATGGGTGTGAATACTTTGAGGGCACTGTACGTCTCGTGTCTGAGCCGTTAAATTGCGACTCCACTTTGTCCCTGTACTGTCATTTTGTCTCTGATTGCCTTACAGAGGTCGTAGCTGATCTGTTTGTACACGTCCATGTTCCCGCGAATGCTGCCATCTATCCACGGTTTTTGGTTTGGATAAGTTCTAATCGTCACAGTGGGAACAACATCCTCTATGTACTTCCTAATTAACCCAGTCACCGAGTTAGTGTATACGTCAATACTATTCTCAGAGGCGACCTGGAACATTTCCCAGTTCGTGTGATCAAAACAATCTTGAAGCATAGATTCCGATTGGTCAGACCAACATTGAACAGTCCTTACCACAGGAGCTTCTTATTTAAATTCCTACCTATAGGTGGGGAGGAGCAGAATAGAGGCATGATCTGATTTGCCGAAGGGAGGGCTTTTTTTTGTTTAGTTTATTAATTCAGCCATTTAAAAAAAACAAGCACACAAAAACTTGAAAAGCCAAACATGCACATTAGTAAAATCGAGGATAACACACAAAGTCTAGGACAGGGTTCTTCAATTCCGGTCCTGGAGGGCCGAAACACCTCTGTTTTTCATCATCTCCTTCTAATCAGGGGCTAATTCAGACCTGGGACACCAGGTGAGTGCAATTAACTACCAGGTAGAAATCAAAAACAGAAGTGTTTTGGCCCTCCAGGACCGGAATTGAAGAACCCTGGTCTAGGACATATTTCCACAAGATGGCTAGGCAAGATCCAACACGGTTGCACACAGTATGACAGCGAGATAATAAAACATAAAAACTAAAAATAAGAACATGTATCTTATTGCAGTTACATCGTAAGGTACATTCAAATTGGCACAGAAGACATCAGACAGGTTTTTTATTTTTAAAACTGCCCAGAGAAGATGTCGTTTTTATGGGCAGAGGCCACTCATTCCACTCTGAGGACCCAGTATACAAGAAAGTACCTTTCCCAGCGTTACTCTTGAACCTGTATAAGCACACATTAGCAACACCTGATCTAGTGCTGTTATTGTGTGCATCCCTAACATTGGGAAAGTAATCAGTTAGATATCTGGGCGCAGAACCATAAATACTCCTGTAAACCAAACCCAGTCTAATCTGGGACACCCTAGCCTCAACAGGCAGCCAGTTGAGTTCCTGAAAGCAGCTCCTGCCTATGTGAGTACGTGGACTCACCTTCAATACTACCCTGATCAGCTTATTCTGGGCTGTATGGAGTACTAGCATATTCAAAATGGCATTGAATGAGGGCAGTGGCTAGCACTCTCATGGAATCCTCATCAAGCAGCTTGGACTTTCTAGCCAAAAATGTAGTGCTGGGCGGGGGAGGGACTTGTAGCCGTCACGGAAGGGAGAGTATTAATGTTCTGTTAACTGTGTTTGGGTCTGGTGTGGCAAGGCCTATTAATCTTGGGGTGAATCTGGTCCCATTCATCATTGGAGAGGGAGGGCTGCTCATTAGTTTTGGCTGATTGGGAATGTCACTGCTAGCCCCATAGACTCCTCAGCCAACACAGCGGTCCAAAACATTAATTTGTTCCTCTGGAATCCTCAAGAAGACTGTTTTTTGTTGAATTTTGTTGTGTTTTCTTTGACTTCCCCTCGGCTGCTCTAACCCGACAACATCAGACGTTGGTGAGCAAATCTCAACAGTCAAATTATGAGCCACATTCAAATTATTATACTTCATTAACAAACATTATTATATTTTACTTTTATTTACTTCTCATATGCGATTATATTTCTGTTCTCTCCACAGTTCCTGACTAAGAACCCAGCCCGGCGTCTAGGCTGCATGGCGGAAGAGGGTGGGGAGAATGCTGTGACTAGCCATGCCTTCTTCACTGGAATCGACTGGGACAAGCTGAACCGCAGGGAGCTGGAGCCGCCCTTCAAACCCCGCATCGTGAGGCACACACACACACACACACCTGATAGACACACACACACACACACCTGATACACATGATTGATGTCATTAAAAACTGTTTACAGTAGACATTACAGTAGAATTGTAATACCTACCTCTGTCTTATCTTACCATTTATAATACACACCCAGTTTTACTCTCTTAACCATTGTATTACAGTATGGTAGGTAGTGGCCTGGGTTATGAAAGACATGGAAGGCGGTACAGTGAGGGGAAAAAAGTATTTAATCCCCTGCTGATTTTGTACGTTTGTCCACTGACAAAGAAATGATCAGTCTATAATTTTAATGGTAGGTTTATTTGAACAGTGAGAGACAGAATCACAACAAAAAAATCCAGAAAAACGCATGTCAAAAATGTTATAAATTGATTTGCATTTTAATGAGGGAAATAAGTATTTGACCCCCTCTCAATCAGAAAGATTTCTGGCTCCCAGGTGTCTTTTGTACAGGTAACGAGCTGAGATTAGGAGCACACTCTTAAAGGGAGTGCCCCTAATCTCAGTTTGTTACCTGTATAAAAGACACCTGTCCACAGAAGCAATCAATCAATCAGATTCCAAACTCTCCACCATGGCCAAGACCAAAGAGCTCTCCAAGGATGTCAGGGACAAGATTGTAGACCTACACAAGGCTGGAATGGGCTACAAGACAATCGGCAAGCAGCTTGGTGAGAAGGTGACAACAGGTGGTGCGATTATTCGCAATTGGAAGAAACACAAAATAACTGTCAATCTCCCTTGGCCTGGGGCTCCATGCAAGTCTCACCTCGTGGAGTTGCAAAGATCATGAGAACGGTGAGGAATCAGCCCAGAACTACACGGGAGGATCTTGTCAATGATCTCAAGGCAGCTGGGACCATAGTCACCAAGAAAACAATTGGTAACACACTACGCCATGAAGGACTGAAATCCTGCAGCGCCTGCAAGGTCCCCCTGCTCAAGAAAGCACATATACAGGCCCGTCTGAAGTTTGCCAATGAACATCTGAATGATTCAGAGGAGAACTGGGTGAAAGTGTTGTGGTCAGATGAGACCAAAATGGAGCTCTTTGGCATCAACTCAACTCGCCGTGTTTGGAGGAGGAGGAATGCTGCCTATGACCCCAAAAACACCATCCCCACCGTCAAACATGGAGGTGGAAACATTATGCTTTGGGGGTGTTTTTCTGCTAAGGGGACAGGACAACTTCACCTCATCAAAGGGACGATGGACGGGGCCATGTACCGTCAAATCTTGGGTGAGAACCTCCTTCCCTCAGCCAGGGCATTGAAATGGTCGTGGATGGGTATTCCAGCATGACAATGACCCAAAACACACGGCCAAGGCAACAAAGGAGTGGCTCAAGAAGAAGCACATTAAGGTCCTGGAGGGGTCTAGCCAGTCTCCAGACCTTAATCCCATAGAAAATCTGTGGAGGGAGCTGAAGGTTCGAGTTGCCAAACGTCAGGTTCGAAACCTTAATGACTTGGAGAAGATCTGCAAAGAGGAGTGGGACAAAAACCCTCCTGAGATGTGTGCAAACCTGGTGGCCAACTACAAGAAACATCTGACCTCTGTGATTGCCAACAAGGGTTTTGCCACCAAGTACTAAGTCATGTTTTGCAGAGGGGTCAAATACTTATTTCCCTCATAAAAATGCAAATCAATTTATAACATTTTTGACATGCGTTTTTCTGGATTTTTTTGTTGTTATTCTGTCTCTCACTGTTCAAATAAACCTACCATTAAAATTATAGACTGATCATGTCTTTGTCAGTGGGCAAACGTACAAAATCAGCAGGGGATCAAATACTTTTTTCCCCTCACTGTATCTGTTTGCAGTTACCCCAAAGTATTTACAGGACCTCTCACTGATATTTTGTGTTATTGTACCTCCAATCCTGTCTAACCAATACTTCACTTCCAGAAAACTGCAGAGGACGTGAACAACTTTGACCCAGACTTCACCCAGGAGGAGCCCACCCTGACGCCCATTGAGGACCTCCTTCCCTCCGTCAACCAAGACGAGTTCCACAACTTCTCCTTCACTGCTCCTGAGCTGCTGGATGACTAGGAGGCCCTGTGTGACACCCCAGCACCCACAGACTTTTCATGGTGCTCTCTGTCATACCTCCCCCTTTCTGCCTTGGCCCCTTTGACTCTTGACCCCTTCTCTCTGACCCTACTGACTTCTACTTTTGCCCAATGGGGAGGCAGTTTGAGTGGAAGAGGCTGACTTCCAGATACATGAGGACTCATGAGGATTCACTGTGCTGCTGTGAAAGAGGCAGATGGTGACTTACTGATTGGGGCTGTATTGGATCATATGGACTCTTACTGTATCACTGTAAAACATCTCCAGCTTCTGACATTCTCAATTAAATTCTTGCAGCAGGATTGTTGCGTAACTTCGTCTTGGCACTGTGGGATATGACATCACTGTCTCGTCACTGTGGGATATGACTAACTGGTTCTGTGTTGAGACAGAGAGAGGTTGCTCAATGAGGTCTGATTTTAATCAGAGATTCTCTATTTTTCCATGCTCCTTCCTGTCACCTTTGGAAAACATGGGACAGTTCTGACTTGTAATCTTGCTCAAAGTGTATTACTGATCTTACAAACTTTGGTTGACTGAAATGCAAAGCAATGTTAATGGAAATGTGTCCCCTGATACAGAAAGATGAATTTTCCTACGGTTCCTTCAAGATAAATACAAGCAATTTTTGAACTAATGGGAATTTTCTGTTTGTGTCTTTATTAACTTGACATACATCTTGTTCAATGCTGTGACCAGTGGGACAATATATATATATATTTTTTAATGCATGCCAGCAAAACCACTACACAACACTAAACAATACATTCATTGCACTATAACGGTGACAAACGGTGCCCACAAACTGTTAGGGCCTACATAAAGCTGTCCCAACAGCAGAGCTTTCTTTTCAGCACCATGGAGTGAATCCTTACCACTGCTACACCTGGCTATCAGCGGAGCCTTGTCTGGCAGTGAAACAGTTCATTCATCCTCATTTACTGCCTTTAAAAAAACATAGCTGATTTGGCTGACTTGCTTAAACAAATGTGGTTTCTACTGACAATTGAGATGTACAAACTATGGCATAAGGGAACGACGAGCGGATAAGAGGCAATCCGTCATTTCGATTAAGACATTAATGAACGAGCTAGGACGGACAAAGTCAATATAACTATTTGTTCAGCACTTTTGAAATGTACAGCGACAGAATTCAGAACATGGACCGTTCTTACAGTATTCTCCCTGTACACCAAGTCAGAACCATAGGATAAATAAAGTGGGCATATAAGCAGACAATGAAAGCTCTTACAATTTTCTATGATTACATTTCTCTAAAACAGGCTATAGGCTAAATATGCACCACCAAGTCAGAACAGTAGGCTAAGTTATGAGGGGGGAAAGGGACCAAATTATTAGGGTGAGGCACATCGCCTACTAACAGCTTACTACACAACATACAGTGGCTTGCGAAAGTATCCACCCCCCTTGGCATTTTTCCTATTTTGTTGCCTTACAACCTGGAATTAAAATTGATTTTTTGGGGGTTTGTATCATTTGATTTACACAACATGCCTACCACTTTGAAGATGCAAAATATTTGTGATTGTGAAACAAACAAGACATAAGACAAAAAAACAGAACTTGAGCGTACATAACTATTTTTTCTGGCCACTCTTCCGTAAAGCCTAGCTCTGTGGAGTATACGGCTTAAAGTGGTCCTATGGACAGATACTCCAATCTCCGCTGTGGAGCTTTGCAGCTCCTTCATGGTTATCTTTGGTCTCTTTGTTGCCTCTCTGATTAATGCCCTCCTTGCCTAGTCTGTGAGTTTTGGTGGGCGGCCCTCTCTTGGCAGGTTTGTTGTGGTGCCATATTCTTTCAATTTTTTAATAATGGATTTAATGGTGCTCCGTGGGATGTTCAAAGTTTCTGATATTTTTTTATAACACAACCCTGATCTGTACTTCTCCACAACTTTGTCCCTGACCTGTTTGGAGAGCTCCTTGGTCTTCATGGTGCCGCTTGCTTGGTGGTGCCCCTTGCTTAATGGTGTTGCAGACTCTGGGGCCTTTCAGAACAGGTGTATATATACTGAGAAAATGTGACACTTAGATTGCACACAGGTGGACTTTATTTAACTAATTATGTGACTTCTGACGGTAATTGGTTGCACCAGATCTTATTTAGGGGCTTCATAGCAAAGGGGGTGAATACATGCACCACTTTTCCGTTATTTATTTTGTAGAATTTTTTGAAACAAGTTATTTTTTTCATTTCACCTCACCAATTTTGACTATTTTGTGTATGTCCATTACATGAAAAATCTATTTAAATTACAGGTTGTAATGCAACAAAATAGGAACAACGTCAAGGGGGATGAATACTTTTGCAAGGCACTGTAGCAGATGTCCGACAAGGACAAAAACCAATAAAGAACATCCTAATGGTCAAAAGCATATGTTTTTTAAATGAGTGTTGATATGGATTAAAAGGTGTGCTTTAACTGCCAATACCTAAATTCTCTAGTTTTGTTTTATCCAGTTCTTTGTGATCCCTGTCCTTCAACAATTAATGAATGCCATTTTTTTTAGTCCCCCCAGACACACTCTCTCACACACACTCAGAATCTTTCTGAAATTAAACATTCCTCATTTGTGGGCAGACAGGCTGATAGACAGGCTTGAGGCTGCCAGCACGATGAATGTTTTTTTCAATGCTGTAAAGGTAATGAAGGTAATGGGGAAATTCTCTCCAATGACCATTGTCTGAAATGATGGAACACCAGCCTAGAGCTAACACCAAATATTACCCCTTCAAATAAATAAGAGACTGCATCAGATTATTATTCATATGTTGCTTTATGGATCTCCTGAGAGAGATAGTGAGAGAGAGAAGGAAAATGCAGTTGCAACCCTAACCATAAAGATCCATCCTCTGTTTGAGCCATCATTTACTATATATCTTACATTCTTACTGTCGTCACAGACAAGAAATAGCTAATGTCATGTCTGTCGCCTCTGATAGCTACAGGAAGGTGAAGTTACTGTTCGTTGAAAGAGAGACTCAGACGTTGGCCAAGCATTGTGCTAATAAGCAGCTGGTCTAGGAGATGGAAGATGGGTTTGAAAACAACACTTCTCTGACGTTGAAGGAAATCCTAGCAGGCAGTAGAAACAATTTGCTGCCCTGTGTTGAACCTGCTGGATGCTCTTGACCCGGAGATGTGCACTGACATGTTCCGATAGGATGGGAACTTCCTGCCATTTAGCACTGAAAGTCTTCAGACTCATTACTAGAGTCACTGGAAGAAATTCCTAAGATATAAAAGTAGCATTGTCTGAAAACAAGTAATGTCCCACTAGCCTGTGCTACAAAGACACATATGCCTTATGTCAACTTTTTTCAATTGAAAGAGGATGCCTCACACGGCTCAAAATTTAACCTCTTAAGGAACGGACCCTTTTTTTCCATTTTCGCCTAAAATGACATACCCAAATCTAACTGCCTGTAGCACAGGACCTGAAGCAAGGATATGCATATTCTTGATACCATTTGAAAGGAAACACTTTGAAGTTTGTGGAAATGTGAAATTAATGTAGGAGAATATAAAACATTAGATCTGGTAAAAGATAATACAACCAAAAAAACATGCGTTTTCTATTATTATTATTTTTTCAATCATCTTTGAAATTTAAGAGAAAGGTCACAATATAATATTGCAGTTTAGGCGCAATTTAGATTTTGGCCACTTTCAGTTTCTGATTGATCTAGTGAAGCATTGCAACACTAGACTATTTTGTATCTGCCCAAATGTGCCGAATTGGTCAATTGATACATTTTCAAGTACATAACTATAGAGAACATACAAAAATGATATGGTAATACAACATGTAAGTTTACACATTCCCAGGAATGTCATACATGATGGATCATTAGCTTATACACTAACTTTCACACATCTAGATGGCCAGGCCGGGCGGGGTGAGTGTGGAGCCAGAGACAGCAGGGGTTCAAACTGTAGAATCCAGTTCCTACATTTGAATATAAAAATTGATTTTATCAAACAAAACGATGCTACATTTTATCTCTGGGACCCTTAGGATGACAAATCAGAGCAAGATTACTGAATGTAAGTACATTATTTACCTTCAGAGGTGAATGTATCAAACCAATTGCCATGATACGTTTTTTGTTGTTGTGCACTCTCCTCAAACAATATCATGGTATTCTTTCACTGTAATAGCTACTGTAAATTGGACAGTGCAGTTAGATTAACAAGAATTTAAGCTTTCTGCCCATATAAGACATGTCTATGTCCTGGAAAGTTTGCTGTTACTTACAACAGTCATGCTAATCACATTAGCGCACGTTAGCTCAACCGTCCCATATACGGGACACCGATCCCGTAGAGGTTAAAGTCGCTGAAACATTTGGATGAATGAGAACTTTCAATCCCTTCTCGATATCCCAGTAAAACCCTGCCAGCACTAAACTCACATAATCCCACCTCTATCTTCTTTATTCTATGATTTACTGGAACATCAGTTCAGCTCAAGGCATTGATCTCGGGAGGCACCAGTGCAACATACTAATCTGGTTTAATCAGACATTGACAAACGACCCGCTGTCGTGGGCTGCTCAGTTCATCACTCCCATTCTGTTTTGCTTCAGCAGGATGGTTCAGCAGCAGCAAAATATGTGGGAAGCTTCAAAGTTGCAAAGTAAATGGGGAAGGAGTAGGGTTTTTCCCAGGTGAAAGAGGCCACATTGTTGACTAAAAAGGCCTCCAAAAAAGTAAATGAATCCATACAGCCGAATAATAATTGATAATAGACCATAATTGATTTCCATACATATACATTTATTTCATATCAATATTAATATAATCCAAGTTTTTTTCATAACAGTAGAAACAAGTGTCATTAATCACCCACAGACTATTCCACCCTGACAGAGTTCCTGTGCATTGTTTCACTCGAAATGATTGCAAACGTGACTTTCATTTAAATTAAGCTGCAGCAAAGAGGTGCTTTCAG